TGTGTTTAGGAGGCTGAAGCAGGACTGTAACAGTTGCAGAGACAACCTGGGTCACATAGTAATTACAGGGTTAGGCAAACTCTACACAGCAAAATAAAAACTACACGCATGCACGCACACACCTTAAAACTACATATCCATGCCCTCTGTGTGTGTGTATACTACAAAAATGTTATATTTACACACACACACACACACACACACACACACACACACACACACACACACACATATGTGGGCAAAGGTGAGGTGGGTTTTTTCCTTCTTATAGCTAATTGAATTCTACCCTGAAATAATAGTTTGCCTGACACAAAATGTTTAAGGCAGCTTGCAGTATACTTCTATCCACTGGCACTTATTTATGACTGCATATATTTAAGAGAATCTATTTGCACAATCAACTGAATCACTTAGTCAAGTGTTTTATGGCACTCCTCCCCCTCCCTTTCTAAACCCCTCAGTTTAGGTCCTAATAAATCTCCCCTAAATCCAGTCTTTAAAAAAAAAAAAATCCAGACTCTTTATTCTTCTAAAAACAGATTTTAAAACTTTATCCTAACTGAAAAATAAAACTAAATGAAATCTGAGAAAAAGCTTTAGAGCCCTGATTGCAAGAGCATTCAACTACATAAGCAACAGAAAATGCAAGACACTATTCTAATCTTAGTACTGTGGCTTTTTTTTTTTACTAATAAACTTAGGAAATTAACCACCTAGATACCTGTTAATAACTGCTGTGGTCTGCATGAAATGCCCACTAGAGGCTCGTGTATTTAAACCTTCAGTCAGCAGTTGGCAGCACTGTTTAGGCCCAGGAGACGCAGAACTTTTAAGACTGTAGCCTTGCTGGAGAAAGTACATCACTTGGGTGAGCTATGAGGGCTTAAAGTCCCAGTCCTGCTTCCTGTGTAGAGGGTCAAATGTGGTAAGCCACCTTCCTACACTGGCCTCAACTGCCTGCCATGTTTTCCCTTCCATCACAGACACTCTGGAACTCTAAATCAAACTTAAAAAAAAAAAAACCCCTTTTCTTCCTTAAATTGCTCCTGGTCCTGGAACCTTGCCACAGCAATAGAAATGTAACTGACACAGTGGCTGTGCATAGCTACAACTCTTGAGTGTCCTGAGGATGCAGTAAGGCCAGTTCATCACTTGTACCTGGTGCATAACCATTTATCAAGTCCCTTCACAGCACCCTCTGTGAAAAAAAAGAGCCAGGGGCTCTCTTCATAAGCTGCATCTGCCTGCCTGCGAGCTCACTTTGAAAACACTGTCCCAAACTTCTGACACTGAAATAACTTGCAGGACAGCAAATACAAAGCAGTAACTCAGGAGCAAGTTACTATGTTGGCCAAGTTTGATGTCTTCACGATTAATTTTCCATCTAGGATATGATACCTAGACATTCAGCTAAACAATTCTGAGTATAGGTATTTTTTAAAGAGAAGATTAACTTTGAATAAAACAGATTTCCCCAAATAACTGCAAACTATCTGACTAACAATCTATTCCACAATAAAAACACCACTAAAATTCGTACCTACCATCAAAAGATTAACAACAAAATCCAACATTTGGGGGAATGTTCACAACACTACTGGACAGGAAAAATAAATGCAAAGAAAAACTACTTTGTCCCTATGATACAGAATGTCACCGCAAAATGGTGTATACAGAATGCACTAAGAGTTCTCAACTTCTACAATTAAATTTTCAGACAAAGAAAATATGGCAGTCCATGTCACAAAAGCAAAACTCTAAAACAAGTTTCTAAAAAAAACAAAACAGAAAAAATGTAAAATGTAAACAAAAATGATGATGAGGAATACAGAGAGAGAATATGGTGATATGGAATAAAGTGATGCGAGGTCTCTCAACACAAGTGAGATCATCACACACTGTGTACAAGTATTGAATGACCACACTAATCTGTGAATATGCATATTATGTTAATTTTCAAAAACAAACTGCCAACAATGATACTAAGGTATACTACTGCCGAAACCGGAACCTAGCAGTCACCATGGACACAGCGCTGTGCTCAGAAGGGAGCAGCAGCACAAGCAGAGACTCTGAGACAGGGGCTTGCCCTTTCCCTAACTGGCCTGGCACTCACCATCCTCCTGCCGCACCCTCTCCAGCACTGAGATTACAGTCAACAAAAATATAATACAAACCACCCAACTGTGTCACCAACAAAAGATACCTGTAATCAGAACAGGAACAACCCGGTTCTGCAGAACAGAGAAAAAGACTCACTTCATCTGCTAAGTTTACAGATTAAAAAAAAAAAAAAAAAAGCAGAGTTATAAAATAACCACAGCCTATGGCCTTCACTGTCTTGAGAGATACACAGGAATATTTCTCTGTTTAACTCCAGTCAAAACCATCAGTAAAAACCTATAGAGCCAGGTATAAACATCTGGATGTAAACCTAATTTATGAATAGTGGAAAAGTTACTCTCCACAAAGTAATTTCATTAAGTTACAATAAGACTTCTTTGAAACTCTCTTAATCTAGTATTATTCCAAAATAAAAATTTAAAAAATATTTTCCATTTTGGAGTCATCAGTGACCTTTTGACCAATCTAACTATCTCAAAAGACAAAAAGAACTGTGAATCAAACCCTGACTGATTGGCAAATAATGAAATTTACACAATCCTAAACAGGAGCTTTAACATTACTCTAAGTGTCCCTCACAGATTCTTTTGCATATCTTAAAAGTGTACATGCCATACAAATATGGATACAAAAAGGTTTGACTAAAGGCCTATGATAATTACAGCCAACAATTAATGAGAACATTTCTACTTAAAACAGAATGATTACAAATATTAAAGTATTTCAACAAAGGAATCGTGAGTATTTAACTAGAAATGTTCACCAAGATTGAAGCCTTTTTACATCAGTAAAAATTATCTTTTAAAAAGTTTTTTTTAATTGCCAGTAGAAATATTAGGATTACTAATGAGCCAGAATTTTTTTCCCCCTAAAGGATTTATTTGTTATCTATACAGTGTTCTGCCTGCATGCCAGAAAGGGGCACCAGATCTCATTATGGATGTTTGTGAGCCACCATGTGGTGCTTGGAATTGAACTCAGAACCTCTGGAAGAGCAGCCAGTGCTCTTCACTTCTGAGCCATCTCTCCAACCCAAGCCAGAATTTTCTAAGTAAGAAATGTCAAGATGGATGCTAATGATGCTGATTCCAGAACCTTCAATTATCAGTGGAGACTGTAATTCCAACAAGTGCACAGGTATGAAACATTTTTCCTGAATGTGGACTAACCCAGTGAGGACAAAAGTACTTAACAATAGTTATGTACAACTACCCACAAACACAGGCACCAAAGCTGAAAATACAAAAACAAAAGACAACAACAACAACAAACCTGCACAACACATACAGAAGACAATTGTAAAGTTTTGAAACATTTGGTAATACGAGTAAGGAAGGGACCTATGTGACAACACAACACAATAGGAATTAGTTCAGAGATACACCATTGACAGCAATTCAATACTTCAGGGTTAAGGAGTGATTGAAATCAATCTTAGCAATCAGTGTTGAGCTTTTCAGACAGCATGATCTGTGTCAACAGCAATGCAGACATTCCAAACCTTCAGTTACTATATAAATTTAATATTGTACAAAAACATTAAAATAAATAACACACTAAAAACAGTATTTACGAGAGGTCTAAAGTCACTAGCAAACAAACCAGCATCACATAAACCTATGAATTACTCTGGGGAACAATCTTTGTTTCCCCTTGACTTTGAGACGGGGTCTTGGTATGCAGCCCAGACTGGCCATGGCCATAAAACCCTCCTCTGTCAGCTTCCCACATGCTGGGATTGTAGGCATGCATCATTATCCCAATTTCAAAGATACTTCTCATTCAGAATACGGTAGCCTGACAGAAAGTTACTCTCCTTACTTTCAGCTACTTCAACCATGAGCACTAGCTAGAGCAGTGCTTTCCAACAGTTCAAGGCACATGCGTGATTTCAAATGTCCAAGTAGCCAGTCACCTGTTTATAAACAGGATAAGCTTATATCTGACTAATGGCATATGCAAGGCCCTGAGATCAATCTCAGGAAATAAACAAGTAAATAATAAGTAAATGAATGAATGAATGAATAAATAAATAAACACATGCCAGCATAAACAGTAAGCCAGGCACAAAAACCCTCTACTCAGGGTTTCATGAGCCTAGGAGGCGGAGGCCAGCCGGAGGCAACACTTGAGACCCAGACTCACAAAAATAGCTGTAAAAAACAGTCAAAATTAACTTTCATAATTTATTGAACCAAATATCTCAAAATATTGCTTTGACACATAATCAAGAAGTTAATGAAATACTTTGCAATCTTCTTTCCTATCAAATACCCAAAATTTAATGTGCATTTTACAGCACATCTCAACTGGAACTAAGTTAATTTGGGGTAATAATTATGTATGACTAGTGGTTACTGCATAAGATAACACAGACCTAGAACTCTTTGTCTGGTTTTGAAATAGACTTACAAAATATATCTGTAATTCCAGCCAAGAAAACTATGAGCGCTGAAGACATATGTCAATTCAGCCTTTGTTCCTGACTATAGCAGGCCAAGGGTGATAAGGGTGTCTCATTTGCCAGGCAAACTCTATTTTTAGAATGAGTCCCAATTTTCACATGTTATAATGACATAAATATTAACAACAACCCTTTAAATCCTCACAAACATCTCATCTGATGTGACAAGTTACATGGTCATTCTACCTAGTTCCTTAACATCCTTGAAAATAACTCTATACACTGCTTAGAAGAAAACTCAGTTGAAATTCTCTAATTCTGATGCCTGGAAGAGACTCTAAATTTAAAAGAAAGAACCCTAAATTCACTACACTCGTTTTTTTTTTTTAAAAAGAAAAGAAAAAAGGATGCTGCTGAAAAGTCTTTATTTTTAAATTGCAGACTTAAAAAAAAAAAAAAAAGTAAGAATTACCTGTTGAACAAGGCATCTGGAAATTGGGATCATTGCTATCCAAAACAGGCAAACAGAACTGGTTACTTGCAGATCCTAGCATAGGATCCTTATCGCTGAGCATGTTCTTCAGCGAGTCCTCTAAGACATTTTGACTTGTACTAAAATCCTCACAGACTTCATTCTCCAGGTTGGATCCTAGAAATAGGGCATCATCTAAGTGTTCAGTAGGAATTAAATGATTAAATGTATCAACTATATCCATGAAGACTTCTGTGTGTCTTTCAACCCTATAGAAAGACAAAAAAAATACCATAAGAAATAAAGCTATCAATTGAAAATCACCTAAAACCAAATTATTTTAATAGTTTTGAATCTAAGAACACACTTCTGAATTTGTTTTAAAAAACCTTCACTGTTTTTTAGAATATACATTAGGAAATGTGGAACAAATCTTTACTGAATGACCTTTCTTTATCATGCATGTAAAATATTTTACCAGAAATCCTACCAAAATGTTTAGTTTACTCAATTCATTATGTTAGATTATAATTACATAGCCCATTAATTTGACATATATGAAAGAATTACATAGTTTAAACCATAAAGCTGTATGTTTTTAACCATAACATTTTCATAAAGAATCAAACAATGGTGTTACAGTAAGTCCATACAAAAGAGCTAAAATCCAATATTTAAATTATGGTCCCATAACTACTAGAAACCAAAGATGGCCTTGTTTTATTTACAAAGCATTTTAATTATTTATATAACAGAGACATGTTCCCCCCCCTGCGGAATCCAACTCTTAACTAAACCCAACAAATCACAAGTTTACACATGCACACAAAGTTGTGTACATATACACATATTTTCCTAGGGTTTTCTTTCAGGAAAAAACAAGATATATAACAAGAAAACAATCACATCACACGTTTAGATTTACTTTAGCAAGTTATGTGTGGTTTACACAGATGCTGAATTCATCTACCCAAACTATACCTATATGCTACCGTTAACCAAACATTATTTCAAGTTTTCAAGGTGCAATAGTTATCAAAAACTTAACTATTTTTATGAATGGTTTCAGATAAAAGTGAATCAACCAGTCAAAAAACCACTCTGATCATCTAGACTATCCTGTGCTCTGTATTTTCAAAATTTTACATGAACTCCAAATCTACCACAATATTCTTAACCTGGCTTAAACTCTTCCCCCTTAAAAATGAGAGGGAAAGCTGGGTGTGGTGCTGCACACCTATAACCCCAGAATTCAAGGGGATCAGGAGTTTGAGGCCAACCTGGCCACAAGCTAAGATACTATCTAAAAAGGAGACAGTGTGGATTTCCCATATATAGCTACTGGATATATATTATATGCAATACTTTGGTGAGCATTTTGTCCGAATGTGTGTAACTTAACTCTCAATGATAGAAAAGGACCAGATAATGAAGGGGAATCCACAGAATCAGCTGATCCAAGCAAGCCAGTAAGAGATCACTGACTCCGCACTGGCAACTGGGCCCCCTGAATACAGGTGACAACAGTGTGACTTGAGCAGTGTTTGAGGCCACTGGCAATGAGACCAAGATCGGACTATAATGCATAAACTGACTTTATGGAGCCCGCTCTCTATGAATGATGCCTTGCTCAGCCTTGGGGGAAGGGTCCTGCCGCAACAAGGTTATGAGACAGATTATTGACATCCTAGGAGAGGCCTTAAGCTCACTGAGGAGATGGTAGACAGGGTGTGGGGAAGGTGGAGGGAGGAGAGGGAACTGAGATTGGAATAAGAAAATTAATAATGAAGGATCAGATAATATGCTTGTTTTTACAAGAAAAATGCATTTAAATAATTTAAAGGTCTTCCTCAAAGTCATGCGGCTTCTTAGTCCATGCCTAATAGCTATTTACCCTTAGTACTGAGCTTAAGGGCTGGAAAAGACTTGACTCACTGGAGGCTGAAGATAAGAAAGCATGACTGAAGAATAAATGGAAACTTTAAGGGACCTCAGAAATGTCCTAAATCTTAACTATTGTAGTAGTTTCTGAAATATCCCATCACTCTTCAAATGGAAGAAGCCCATGAATCCAAAGCCAGATCCGGCTGGCTTACAAAAGAAAAGCTTGAAGCCAGCCTAAGTCAATAAAACTCAACATATTTTCCCCAAAGCCAAAAATGAGCAATGTAAGAAGAAAGCAAGCAATCAAGCATACCAACTCTTTAAGGTAGGTAGAGCAACTGTATGACTTCATGTTTCGATGGATTTAGGAAGCATTATCAAGGAAGGAAGATTCTATGATCAAAAGTTGAGAAGACTAGGTATAGTAAGGTTGTATTTCTTTAACAGTATTTTTCCCTTTAGTCTTTAAATGTTTACTATGCAGCTACCACTACACAAGGCACCTTGGCAGGCCACAGGATGAAAATCTTTGAAGACAGAGAACAAAAAGGTCCCCTATTTATGGTTCAAAAAAAAAAAAGAAGAGAGACCATTTCCATGGGACATATCACAACACCAGAACTCTGTGGAACATATTTTAAAGGAAACCAATATAAATTAATGAGGTCACTTTTTTTTTAAAGGTGGGTCCTATTTAGATTTGTACACAATAAAGAAAAAAATACCAAAAATAGTGGACAGCCACCCACCCAACATTTGCACTATGTTGAAAGTAACATTAATCTCGAGTATTAAAAAAAAAATAAATCTAAGTAACTGGTTTCATGCTGGGGCTGAAAAGATGGCTCTTGGCTAAAAGCCTAGGCTGCTCTTACAGGAGACGAAAATTCGCTTTCCAGCACCCAGGTCCCACAAGCACCAGGAAGACAGGAATCTCCATGAGCAGCCAAAGACTGCCATAAAATTTAAACTACAGCTTACAAAGGAACCCATGCTAAACAGTAAAACAAATGTTAGTTAAATACAGAAATAACTAACTTAAAGGAGTCTCTAAGTGCAATGTGGCTTGACAGCAGAACAGAAAGAATACTACATTACTGGAAAAGCTGGTAAAATCTGCATAAAGTATGTACTTCATTCAGCTATAGTCTTCTGTTTACCCTGACAGAGGTGCCAATATTACATCAGGAGCCAATAATAAGGGGAAATGGGTTGAGGATATATGCAGGGTACATAGGAACTCTTAACCCGCTCTGCAGTCTTCAATTAATCTAAAGTATTACAAAATAAGACAGCTTTAAAAAGAATGGAACATTGGGGATACCAATAATGTAAATGAAAAGACATTTTTAGTCTCTTTGTTAATTATATAGCTACTTGATATAAACAAAAAACAAATTTCTGTCTCTTCCACTAAATTTTACTTGAGTACTTCCTTACATTTGGTTATCGTAAGCAAACCACACTATCTACTGTCTATTTACAATGGCTCATGAAATGCATACTATCATTATACATATTAAAATCTGAAATTTTCTGAGATCAGAGTCACACCTATTATTTATAAACAATAAAATATACATAGTTGTCACAGAATAGGATATTCTTAATTCAAACCATTCGTTCATTCACAGATTTACTAAACATCTACCACAAAGGGAAACCAACTACAGTCTCAAATTTAAGAAATTCACAATCCAAGACAGCACACATATAAATACAATACAATATCAATTCCAACAGACTATCAATATTTGAGGGCTGCCAATGGGATCAGGAATGAAAACTCAGGTCAAGCAGATATGTTACCTGAACCCTAAAGGGTCAGAGGATAGACCAAGGAAAGGAACAGTGCTAACTATGAACAGTAATGTTCCATTCTATTGAACCATTTATAAAGACTCAAAACATCATTTAAAATATCAGTATTAATGTTTTAAGTAAAATTTACTCGTAATTTATGCTATAAGCAAAATTAAATATCCAAAGATATTTTCAGTTTTAAAACACTTAACTTTGAGAAATAAACTGTAGTTAAATTTAGATTACAGTAAATAAACCCAAAATAGGTCATTCTGTTTCTCATATAAACATAATGGGGGGATTACAAAGTGCCATAAAAATTACTTTAAAAATTGACTTTTAAGCTTAGATTTTAAATGTCTGACTTTTTGCTGGGCCTGGTGACACAGGCCTATAATCTCACTACTCTGGCTGGCAGGGAGGCAGGCAGGGGTAGAATAATTACAAATTCAAAGCCTGCCTGGGCTACAGAGTACATTTGCATTCAAGGCCAACCCAGGAAACTCAGTGAGATTCTGTCACCAAAAATCGAGATATAGGTGAATGATGGGGCTCTATCCCAATATATACACATAAAAAAAAAAGCCTCAAACAAAAATCTCAAAAGCAAATATACACAAAATATATTTTGTCAAATATTACTTTTGTCAAAACCTAAACTGCTACCAGAATCAAAGTTATGTCAGAGACCAAGCACTGGTGTGGGTACAGGCTTGTAATTCAAGCGCTAAGGGACAATTCTGAGAGTTCAATGCTAATTTTGGCTAAATATAAAGCCCCAAGCCAGCCTGGGACAGTTGGGACACAGGACCCCCACTAATGAAAGGAAACACCAAGGCTGAAAAGACTGGGAGATTATATAATGAGCTTCAGCTGTCTCATGTAGTCTACACACGTGCAGACACACCTGTAACAGGCATGAAACAAAAACAACATCCAAGGTGCACGCCCCTGAATACTTGGTCCTCTGTTAGTGCAGCTGTTTGAGAGGCTGAAGGGGATATCACTGGGGGTGGGCTCTGAGGTTTCAAAGGCTCATACCATCCCCAGCTACCTATCCCTCTCCCTCACTGGCCCCTTCCTGCCTCCTGCTCTCACATCAAGACTTCAGCTGTTCCTACAGCCATGTCTTTTTTCTGCCATCAGAATAAGGCCAATCAAATGCTTTCTTTTAGAAGTTGTCTTGGTCAAGGTGTTTTGTCACAGCAATAGAAAAGTAACTAAACACAGGGAAATTATAAAACCTATGACATTTTAAACAAAGTGTATTACCTAGGAGGGAGATTTTATGTACGCTATGAAGGTTTCACTACATGCTAATGAAAACCTACAGCGGCGTAGTGGTCAACTATGTGTAAGAGAAATCCTGGCAAAGAAAGACCTTGGATCATACTTGATGACTTCCAGCCCTGACATAATAAACTATTTGAACTTGATGTAAAGTTTAAATCGAGCAATTTGATCAAGCATACTTAGCAAAAACAAATTTCTAACAGGCAGCTGTATTGTAAATGTCAAGCTGCACAGAAATCACACCACTTCCCCATACCCTGGGGATCAGATAAGGTCTCCTGTAGCCTAG